TTTAGAGAAAAAGGTGAATGAAACACAGGTATCAAAACCTGTGTTCAGCCGCCTTAAAACAGCAGTTATTAACAAGTTATCACTTTAAATTTATCTTGAGCATTTGCACGTAGCACTGACTAAACTATCTCTCTCAATTATCAATAAAAAAGACGCTGTAGTCAAAGAAAATACGAAGAGTATTTTCAACTTTATCAACATTCAGAGATTTCCTGACGCTTTATTTCCATAGGAACGCCCGTAACATTCAATAACTTTGAAGGAATTCATTTTCTTAAATCAGTTTAAAATGAGCTAAACATTTTGTCAAAGAAGCAACCATCACAAACTTGACAAACTAAACAAGGACATCGGTTTCATTTACCGGTAAGATTTGTCAACGTATTTAAAAAGAACAGTGATTTTAATAATGACGAGTAATTTCTTTGAGATCGATTTTGTAATAAAAGCTAATAATAGGTGCGAGTAAAAAATATATAAAATTAGCATAAATATGTTTCTAACAGTAAAAATACTTAAAAATGTCACGAACGGTAGAATGCAATAAAATATGTAAGATAAGTCATAAAAATATTTACAAAGTTAAAAAGGGGATCAAATACTATTATTAAACTTCTTTTGTTTAATTCGAAGTCAAAGGACTTTGGAAATGGCTTTTGTTCCTGATAATCTAATTTTTCTTTCACTGCGCGGAACGAACGCGAAATTAACTATAGCGGCAAGGGATCAACCTGCCAAGGCAGTTAAGTTTCCGTGGAATGTTGTTTCTTTTTTCTTTTTTTTTTTTTTTTATTGCAATAACATTGCAATAGATACGAAAAAAAATGCCTACTCTACTTACGATGTTAACGTAACTTACAGTTTAACAATACTAACAAACCTTACCATACTAACATTATTTACAATTTGTTAGTATCTTACATGACTTTCATGTAGGGGGTTAACTACAATAGGAGGCTTTCCCACATATTGATTTGTGACTTAGATTTATGTCTCTCAATCTTAATTTTGTTTNCAACTTTATCAACATTCAGAGATTTCCTGACGCTTTATTTCCATAGGAACGCCCGTAACATTCAATAACTTTGAAGGAATTCATTTTCTTAAATCAGTTTAAAATGAGCTAAACATTTTGTCAAAGAAGCAACCATCACAAACTTGACAAACTAAATAAGGACTTGGGTTTCATTTACCGGTAAGATTCGTCAACGTGTTTAAAAAGAACAGTCATTTTAATAACGACGTGTATTTTTTTTGAGATCGATTTTGTAATAAAAGCTAATGATAGGTGCGAGTAAAAATATTAAAAATTAGCATAAATATGTTTCTAACAGTGAAAATACTTTAAAATGTCACGAACGGTAGAATGCAATAAAATATGTAAGATAAGTCATAAAAAGATTTAAAAGGGGATCAAATACTATTTTTAAACTTCTTTTGTTTAATTCGAAGTCAAAGGACTTTGGAAATGGCTTTTGTTCCTGATAATCTAATTTTTTCTTTTACTGCGCGGAACGAACGCGAAATTAACTATAGCGGCAAGGGATCAATCTGCCAAGGCAGTTAAGTTTCCGTGGAATGTTGTTTCTTTTTTTTTTTTTCTTATTGCAATAACATTACATTAGATACGAAAAAAATGCCTACTCTACTTACAATGTTAACGTAACTTACAGTTTAACAATACCAACAAACCTCACAATACTAACATTATTTACAATTTGTTAATATCTTACATTACTTTCATGTAGGGGGTTAGCTACAATAG